TCTCTATTTGTAAACGGCCCTATTGTCTTGCAACAGTGATTGGTTGGTCATGTGGGGATGAGAAAGGAGTGGATAGATGAATAGATGCAAGAGTAAAACCAGGGTCATTATCACCAGAAAAACATATTTGAAACATATGTGATGATAGTAGAATAGTAGCATTATTTTGCCATTACACAAAGGACAGAATATTTTTTAAAGTGTGTACACATATGCCATTAAGGGCTTGATTTTGGGTTTTTCACAAGGGAGAAAGCCTACATTTTTATCTGGAAACAACTAATGGGGAATTAGCATACCTTCTTTCAGAGGTGTGTAAATAGAAAGAGAATTACTGGGGAAATTAACCAGTGATCTGGGAAGTAATTTAGTCCCTTAATGCCAGAAGGGTTTAGGGATTTAATTAGAGGACTAGTCTAATTTTTTATTAAATTTTATTGTCTCTTATTTATTTCTTTGGTGAGATCTTTTTATATGTACATAGTAAATCACAGTAACTTAGATTCATCGTTAGACTTTAAGATAAAAAAGATTAGCAGTAATTTTTCAGTGTTTTTCTTACAGATAAGAGAGGCCTAATCTATTAAAAAATAGTGTTTTAACTAGTAACTGAAGAAGTAATGAGTTATTTCACTATGCCTTCAATTTTGGGGTCTAACAGTATTTCTGTTATTAAAGCAGACAGACAAACATGTTTCTGCTTGTTCTCTTACTATTGTAATAGGGCCCCATTAAGTTATAGTTTTTTTTTAAAAAAAACATTTACTACTTTAAATCTATTAGATGACACAGTAACTAAGTGTAATTGAAAATAATACCTTTTCAGGGGCCGGCTAGTCATTTTCCTAACCAATCACTCCATTTTCTTACTCTGAATGAGTTAGGTGTGGATTTGTCAGTGGGGGTGTATACACATATGTTTTTGTGATTGTGAAGCTAATGCATATATGTATTTATGGACTTGGTAGCTAAAATCTCTGGTCTTGAATATTTCCACCATTTAGTTAGTTGCAACAAGTTAATAACTTGCTAGTTTATCAGTTATGAGTACATTGAGTGGCAACAGAAAACTTGAGCAACAGTGGCTTAAACACATTGAGATTTATTTTTCTCACGTAAAAGTAAGTCCAAAGGCTGGTAAGTTCAAAGTTGGCACCAGGACTTAAGGATGTCATCAGGGACGCGGGTTCCTCCTGTCTTTCTACCCTACCATGTGGCTTTCCTCCTTAGAATGATAAGTGAGTGCTCTGTGCAAGGCCTCACGTGCTCATTCCAAGCAGAAAGAAGAAAGAGATGCCTCTCTCAGGAAAGCAGAGGCTTTTCCAGAAATCTGCTCCAGAGTTACAATGTGCAGCAGAGACTGGGAGGTCATTTTTTAAGTGGAGCACATTGCCATTCTAAACACAGCCAGGGTTCAGTTGGTGAGCAAGAGGGGAAAACAGATATCCAGTAGTGGGCGCCTTGCAGTGGTGGCTGCATCCCATATCGACCCTTTGCTGTCATTCAGATTTAATGGATGATGGTTTTCCTCATTATAAGAATAGCAGCCACCTATTTAAAAATGAAGTCACTACGCTCTTCTCTCTTTCAGAGGGTATCAGTTATTCACATAGTTGGTAACGTCTTCAGAGCTCTGTATCTGCAGTCTTGAGCTGTGGCCCAGCACTGTTTCTAACGGCCTGCAGGGTGGTCCACTTGGAAGTGTGCTGATCGGGTTCAAATACTGTTAGGTTCAAAGCTAAGTATCTTTATCTTCAATTTATTTCTTTCAGTCAGGGTTGTCAGCATTTTCCCAAGCTAGAAACTTAGAATAATCCTAACTTTTTAAATTCCTTTATTCCCTAATCCAGTTTGCCATCAACGGCAGTTTACTGCATTGGAATGTCTTGGAGTTGATCCCCAACCTCACCCCACACCCGCCCTGCCACACTGTCACTACTGAAGTTCAGACTCTTGCTGCCTCATTTGTGTGTTATATTCAAGGCTTCCTGGCTGATGCCTCCAATCCTCTTCTTCCTTTTTTGTTCATTCTGCTGGTCATTAACAGTCTAATTTTCTTGAAACTTAGCTTTCTAAATATTTCTTCCCTACTTAAGAGTTTTTAAACCAAATCCAAATTGCTTTCCTCTTTCAAAGTTTTCCTTCATGACAGATTTTTTTCTTATTTTATCTTTTTTATTTTTCAATCTAAACTCTCTCATAGGGCCGGCCCGGTGGCTTAGTGGTTAAGTGCACACGCTCCGCTGCTGACGGCTCGGGTTCGGATCCTGGGTGCACACCGTTGCACCGCTTCTCTGGCCATGCTGAGGCCGCGTCCCGCATACAGCAACTAGAAGGATGTGCAACTATGACATACAACTATCTACTGGGGCTTTGGGGGGGTGGGAAAGGAGAAGGATTGGCAATAGATATTAGCTCAGAGCCGGTCTTCCTCAGCAAAAAGAGGAGGATTAGCATGATGTTAGCTCAGGGCTGATCTTCCTCACACACACAAAAAATAATAAAAAAATAAACTCTCTCATAGTCAGACCTTTCTCTTCAGGGCACTGTTTCCTGCTCACCACCACTAACAGATACACTGTAAAGTCCTGTCATAGACTTTCATCCTCCTCTTCTTGAGTCGTGCCCCTTAATCCCCAGTCCCAACCTGTTTTCACCTCATCATTCCAAATACTACCTTTCAAGGCCTGGCTTCTAAATTCCTTTCTCTTAGAGCTTTCTTGACAATTCCTGCCTGTGTGTTTTTTATCTATTCTAAACTACATTTTGAAGAAGCGTGGTGTAATGGAATTTCTTTGGAGTCGGATAAGTGGGAGTTTAAATCTTGATTTAGCTACTTACTTTTTAACTTTAAGCAAGTTAACTTTTCTAAGCTAGCTTCCTTATCTATAAAATCTAAATAATTATGTGCATGCACATGTGTGCACCCACACATGCCTTTTTGTGAGAGTAAAATGAGGTGATGTTTTGTAAAGTATAGTAGCACTTAGTTTGGGGATTGTTGCATGAAAATAAAGACCTAGGATAATAGTGTCTTAAACAAAGTTGAAGTTTATTTTTCTCTTACATAAAAGAAGTCCAGGAGTAGGTAGTCCAGGGCTGGTAGGTAGCTTCATGTTCATCTGGGACCCAGGCTTTCTCTTTCTTTTCTACCATTCTAATACATGACTTCTACATGAAAATTGAGATTACCACATAGTCCAAGGTGGCTGCTGGAGCTCTAGCCATCATAGCTACATTCCAGAGAGCAAAAGGAAGAAGGAGATAAGGGAAAAAGGGTAGTCAGCTTTCTTTAACCAGCCTTCCTGGAAGTCTCTCACAACTCTTCTGCTTATAGTCTCATTGGCCAGCGCTTAGTCACATGACCACAACTTGCTAAAAGGAGGCTGCAAGTTTAATCTCTTAGTTGGTACATTGCTGCACAAAATAAAACTAGTGTTCTATTGCTAAGGAAGAAGAGGATAGTAACTGTTGGATGGCTACAGGCAGACTCAGCTGTAGTTACCTGTTGTGGTGCCTGGTAAATAGTGAGGCTTAACAAATATCTTTTTGTCTCTGTTCTTTCCGTTCTATTTAGAGTCAGTTTAGCACTTAATTCTTCTTTGCTTCATATGTATCTTTATTTTTCCAGCTACATTGAAAATTTCTTGGGGGATAAGGACCCGGTATCATATTTTGTTATGTTTCAGAACACCTAGCAGAGTGCTTGGCACGCTGGACCACGTTGTAGGAACTTATTATGTATTTGTTAATTAATTGATTTTACTTTCCACTAGGACCATACTTCTTTTAGCCTCTTATTGAACCTTGCCCCCCATGGGTTTTAATACTTTTCCTTCTACTACAAACCAGCAGCTATTGTGAGAGGATATACTCAGATTTTCATTCCTTTGATAATTTTTGTTTTCTAATGCCTTAAAAGTTACCCTGTGGTGTTGATAATCTAACATTTTATCTTTCTTTGATTAATGTTTAAAAATTTTTTTTTCTACGCCTAGTGCTTCAGGATAAATTCCCCAAATTGAACCTAAAGAGTAGCATATATGTACATTACATATATCTCTCTAATATACCTGTTCCTTATGAATGTATAGACTATGACTTTTCAAAATGCTATGTTTGGAAAGGCCTCAAGAAATGATTTTTCTTTGCATATTTAACTCACTGATTTGTTTGTAAGGAAGCTCAATAGTTTGAAAAAAAGCTTAGATCACATTTCTTTGTCACGTTGTTTTTGAGCTCCTAGTTATTTTTGTTTTTCTCCCCAACAATGGATGAGAAGAGAGGAATAGCCAACTGGAGACAGGAAACTCTCCAAGAAGATAAAGAAATAGTATTACTAGAAACTTCTTTCCCATGTGCTTGGGTCAGACTTTGTATAAAAATAAGATCTTATAGTATAAAAGTATCCTGGAATAGAAGAATTTATATGAGTTGTTTTAATTCTACACTCACTAAGTGAAATATTTTAAACCTGCTCTATACTTCATTCAAATTTATTCCTTCACAGATACACATTACATCATTAGTACATGAGTACACAAATATAATTTCTTTCATACCCTATCACCAATATGCTAATATATTCATGCACTCAAATATGCATTTGTATTATATACTTATATATACGTATATAAATGCTAAGAGATAAAGATATGCTGCTACAAATTCTTGTAACAAAGTGAGGTATAAATAAATAAAATAAAAAGTAATTATCATTCATTTATGCACACTCAAAAAGAGTAGGTAGGTAGACATACATGAATGATTATTTGATTTGATGTTTAGGTAGAATATCAAGTGGGTGGGAGAGAGAGGCCTGGTTAGCGAAGTAACCACACACTGTTAATAAGAAGGAGAGTACATATTAACTAAAGAACATAATAACTTTATGATACTTTTTAATGATACTTTGTGACTGGTATACAAATGACATAGAGTCATTTATAAAAAGTTGGTATTTCTTTATAGTTTGACTTTATTTGGTTTTGTTCTCATAGATGTTTTCTCCCAGATGTCAGATTCCAATGGCTTAATGATATTTAGCAAGTTTGACCAGTTTCTGAAGGAAGTTCTGAAGCTCCCAACAGCTGTCTTTGAAGGGCCATCTTTTGGTTACACAGAGCACTCAGTCCGCACCTGTTTTCCCCAGCAGGTAAGGACAGTTTTATAGACTCTAGGACTAGAAGAACACTCATCCACCCCTCCACTTGTATCAGATTTTACCAGATTGCTTCCAGTCTAGGAACATAAGGTCTTAGGAAAAGAGTTTTAAGTGGGAGGAGTGTGGGAAACAGGGGGATAAAAAATTCACCTGAGAATTCTTGTTTTGGGGGGTCTTCTGAAAAATGATAACTTTTGAAGTATTTAAATTACTAAAATTTTAAATAAAAATGTTTAACTGTTTGTATTACTGCTACTGGACATATATCACTGTCCTAAATGAGTTCTTTAAACTGTGAAATACAGGAATTTTGGTATAAAACTCTATACAATACTGGATCACTGTTTCCTGAGCACTGAAGACAAGGAATGCTGTACAGTTCTCAGCTATTAGCTCTGAATCCCTCAAGGGTACACTGCCATTTTCATATGAAAGAAAGATAGATTTGTTTCCCCTTTATTTGTGGTGTCTTTTTGTGGTCCTGCTCTAGAGGTTGTGTGAATGTGTTTCTGAGACCTTAACTATGTCTCAAAGGACTCAGCAGAGTGCACGCTGGCTGTGGCATCAGTTTTGTTCAGGTAGGGATGAGATAAAAGGAGCTTCATGCTAAACTTAGAAAGTTCTGGAAAGTGGGAAATTAAGAAAAAAAAATCTGTGTTAAAACTAATGAGTGAAAAATTAATGGAAGTAGGATATTGACATAGTCTGAAAGTATCTCCCCAATAAGGCGTTTATTAATTACAAAAGGAAACATAGAAACTGTACAGTAGACCTGTCAGGTCCGCTTTAACCAGGTGATCGAAGTCCCTGTCACCAGTAAAGGGACAGACGGATATCCCTGCCTCCTGGTAGGATGCACTGGGAAGTACCCAATATCACTACTGTGGTACTCCGGCCAGAAAATCACAACCTGAGTCTCATCCTGAGGAAGCATCCCATAAACCCAAATGAGGGGATTTTGACAAATAACTGGCCTGCACCCTTTAAAAATGTCAATGTTGTGAAAGATAAAAAAAGACTGAGGAACTGTTTCAGATTACAGGAGTCTAAAGAGATATGAAAATGAAATGCATCTCATGATCCAAGATTTTCTTTTGTTATAAAGGACATTATTGGGATAATTGAAAAAATCTAAATAAATTTTGTAGACTAGATGATAGTGTTCTGTCAATGAATGTTAATTTCCTGATTTTGATGTTTGTATTAAATTATGTAAGAGAATATCTTGGTTTTAAGAAATACAATCTTGAGGTATTTAAAGGTAAAGGGGCTTCTCTCCTGCAGTGTTAACATTTGAGGAATCTGGGTTAAGGGTAAATGGGAATTTTTTTGTAATCTTCTTACAAACTTTCTGTAAGTCTGAAATTATTTAAAAATAAAAAGTTAAAATATAAAAGGAACAAGTTTAAAAGTTTGAGAACTGAAAGGACTTGTAAACTAGATCGTCCTGACCCGTGTTACTTTGATTCACAAAAGAGCCAAAAACAAACACATATACACCCCTTTTTACACTTAAAGTTCAGAATTCATATTTATCTGAATTCAAACTTTCAAACAATATTTTATAATTTGTTCAGTGATTACTCAGCTTTAGCACTAAAGGCGGCACCTGTAACACTGGAGAGTTATTTTCACTAACTTCTGAGGAGATACTCTTCGCAAATTTGTGTACACTATGGCTGATTGTTTTTGTGGAAATTAGCCTCTCTACATTATTTATTTTTTCTCTCAGCATAAATGGCAACATCAGCTTTTAGCATATTGAAAATATCTCTGTGCTTCAATCTATTCTAATACAGTTTGCCTTTCCCCCCCGGAATATGCATTTTCAAATGATATGAGGCTGTCCAAACATATCCTGGTACAGGAGTGTCCAGCAGGTGTTAAAATGCCCTACAGAGATATGTGAGGATGAGTATGATAGAGAAACAGCAGACATTTTTCATTCAGAACTCGTCTTGCTACTGCTGTTTCTTTAGAGTACCACCACATCAAATAGTTGCCCCACAGTACTCTGGGGTGATCCTGCATATGACGTACACGTGGCATTTCACACAAGATGCTCCCTGGAGGTTGGGCTAGAAATTGATAAATTCTGGAATGCTACTATTAAGTAAAGTATTGTCAGGATGGGTAAGGGAATTTCTACAAAGAACTATGAGTGAAGAACATCTGACCAGTGGATGACAGCTACATGGGGTTCTACACCTAAAATAATCTTTGATTTAATTGTAATGTGAGTACTATAATGAGAATCTAATATTGGAATAACGGTTTACAATGTTGAAGTATATTAAAAAATTCTGTTAATTCTAAGAATGCTATCTAGGATTCTATAAATTACCTTATGCTGTAGTTGTGAGACCTTTGAACTTGCGACTTGGTTGTTGCTTTTCACCTGCTTCACATTCTTATAAAAACTCCATCTGTGTTTTGATACATGCCGAGTTTGGAAGAGTCAGAGAAGCTTATTTCAGTCTAGAGGAAACCTGAGTTTTCCTTGGCCTATAAAGATGACAAAAAAGAAGTCTCAAAAGAAATAGAAACTACTGATAGGATAACCCCAGAAATGAGACTGTTTGGACAAAGAGTTAAATTCAACAAGTCTTGGGTTTCTTTTTGAAAATGGGCTTTTCCCATGCAGTTTGTTTTCCTACATAGGTGTTTCTTTAATGTGACTTCGCTCATACACCATCAGATAGAGGACGGTGTCAGTGTAAAGTGGAGATTGCGTTGTTGGTGCATATGTAATTTTCCCCAGCATATTGATGTTCCACGCTGAACAAAGAAATAATCACAGTTAGAAAAAGTATGACTATTTTAAGAAAGAAGCTGAAAATCCTTCAGAAGTACCTTCCTTTAGTGAAAGAAGTGGCTGGTTTGGAGGATTCATGAACTGCTCCACTTTCTACAGTGTTATGGTGATGAAGCTGTGGGTACGAATTAAGAATCTGTGAAGACATTCCTCCCCCGCCCCTATCTCATGCCAGAAAATTAACTTTGGGAGTTAGCTATCCCATGAGTCCAATAGTTTTGATGAAACTGATCTGTCTTGGAAGTTGTATGCCTTATCATGAAGGAGCCTCAGGATTCAGGGCTGAAAGGTATCATCTGACAGTGACTCTTGGTGGAAATGCCTATGGAGATTTAATTGTGCTGGTACTCTTATTAGTATTGCTGTTGTTCGTTAGTCCTCTGTTTACAAGGCTGCATAGGTTTTTAGGTTTGTTCCAACCCTATTTTTCTTATATACCTTATTATTTTTAAATCCACAGTTTTGCAGTAATGTACATGTTGCGTTAGAGTAGAAATACTTTCAATTTTTTTAATGATATGAAGGGAATTACATACAGTCATGCACTGCATAACAACGTTTTGGCCAGTGATGGACCACATGTATGATGATGGTTCCATAAGATTAGTACTATATAGACTTGGTGTGTAGTAGGCTAGGTTTGTCTACGTACTGTAGGGGAGGAAGAAATATTCCTCTGTCCTCTAGCTTCTTCTGGCTGGTCTAAGAATGATATGAGACAGGTTAACAGGAGGAAAACAAAAGTTTAATAACATGTATACATGAGAAAAACCCAGGAAAACTGAATAACTCACCAAAATGGCCAAAGCCCTCACCTTAAATACCATCCTCAGCCAAAGAAAAAAAGATGTTGGGGATGGGGAGAGTCAGAGACTTCAAAGAGAAGGAAGGCAAGTCATAGGTAGGTGACAAGGAGCAAATGTTTGGAAAACAAGTGTTTGGCTGCACAGAAACAGAAGAACACAGAGGGGAGCCCAACAAATGGGCTTTTCTAGGTTCCTCCCTGTCTACCACCTAGTTCACGTTGTGCTAAGGTGATAGCTCGCTTCCTGAGACTGTTTTTTTTTTAATCTGAATTCTTTTAGGCAGTTAAAGGGAGGTAACAAGAAAAATTTTGAGTCTTTTGTTTCTTAAAAATAATCCTAAAATAGACCTCATGTTAGAGAGACACATTTTGGGGTGGCAAATTTTGTTCCCCTTCAGTACACTCTATGATATTCACACAACAATGAAATCACCTAATGACACATTTCTCAGAATATATCACCGTCATTAAGTGACACATGACTGTATTTGTCTATTTTAATATAGCTTTAATTATTTTTTTTAAAAAATTTGTTACACCACATTAACAAAATGAAGGACAAAAATCATATGATCATCTCAATAGATGCAGAAAAAGCATTTGACAAGATTCAACATCCATTTATGATAGAAGTTCTTAAGGTGGGTATAGAGGGAATGTACCTCACACATAAAGGCCATATATGACAAGCCCACAGCTAATATCATACTCAATGGTGAAAAGCTGAAAGTCTTTTCTCTAAGATCAGGAACAAGGCAAAGATGCCCATTCTCACCACTTTTATTCAACGTAGTATTGGAAATCCTAGCCAGAACAGTTAGGTAAGAAAAAGAAATAAAAGCCATCCAAATTGGAAAGAAAGAAGTAAAACTGTCACTATTTGCAGATGACATGATATTATATGTAGAAAACCTTAACGTCTCCGCCAAAAAACTGTTAGAACTGATAAATGAATTCCTTAAAGTTGCAGGATACAAAATTAATATACAAAAAACTGTTACGTTTCTATACACTAATAACAAACTATCCAAAAGAGAAATAAAGAAAACAATCCCGTTTACAGTTGCATCAAAAAAGAATAAAATACCTAGGAATAAATTTAACCAAGGAGGTGAAAGACCTATATATTGAAAACTGCAAGACATTGATGAAAGAAATTGAAGAAGACACAGATAAATGGAAAAATATTCCGTGCTCATGGATTGAAGAATCAGTATTGTTAAAATGTCCATACTACCCAAAGCAATCTACACATTCAGTGCAATCCCTATCAAACTTTCAATGGCATTTTTCAAAGAAATAGAACAAATAATCCTAAAATTTGTATGGAAACACAAAAAAACCCAAATAGCCAAAGCAATTTTGAGAAAG